CTTGTAGGCAGTGTCCAGGTCCTGGTCCAGACAGGGCAGATCTAATAATGTCTTAGAAGAAATCTGGCCCGGGTAAAATGATGGGAACAGCACAAGTAGGTTTCCAAAGAAATAAATTAGTTTTTTTTGTTTATTCCAATGAAGCAGTGCATTCATGTCTATACTGAAAATAAATGCCTCTGCCCTGTCTCTAGACTGAAACTCAGCCTTCTCATGCTGGAGTACAAGCAAAGGAGCCGAGTGTCAGAGTGTGGATGTATTACTGACTCTGACGGATTAATTTCAACACCCTGGTCTTTTCTAATTGCACGTGCATGCTGTGTCTCTGCTCATTTCTGAATCTTATCCAGATTGATCTCCATTATGTCAGAATTGCATCCTGGAGCTCTGCCTGTTTCCTCCTCACTCATGCCAACAGCAAACTGAATTAGTTGTCTAAGTGCGCCCTTATCTATATTGTCTGTGCGCCTGCTCCCGAGCCGGAGGTGCCTGATCGCTCAGCATGTCGTCCCGCTGCGTCCCTGGAGCGAACCGCAGTCAGACACGTCGCTCACATGGCAGGGGGAGGCTTCCACAGATGGCACTGCACACACCGCCGGACCCATCGCCGCAGCTGTGTAGAGTCCCTGATGACACACTGAGACCCAGGGCCACGTTCAGGGAGGGCTCTGTCCCACACACAGGACACAGGACACAGGAAGAAGACAGGACAGGAGGGGAGAACACAGGGACAGCATTGTCAGGTCCGTCTGCACTCCCTGCAGTGTGTGATTCAGGACACAGGACACAGGGACAGGACACAGGACACAGGAGACCGCAGACGGGAGACAGGAGAGGAGAACACAGGGACAGCATTGTCAGGTCTGTCTGTACTCCCTGCAGTGTGTGATTCAGGACACAGGACACAGGAGACAGGAGACAGGGACAGGACACAGGACACAGGAGACAGGAGACAGGAACAGGAGACAGGAGAGGAGAACACAGGGACAGCATTGTCAGGTCTGTCTACACTCCCTGCAGTGTGTGATTCAGGACACAGGACACAGGAGACAGGAGACAGGGACAGGAGACAGGAGACAGGAGACAGGAGAGGAGAACACAGGGACAGCATTGTCAGGTCTGTCTGCACTCCCTGCAGTGTGTGATTCAGGACACAGGACACAGGAGACAGGAACAGGAGACAGGAGAGGAGAACACAGGGACAGCATTGTCAGGTCTGTCTGCACTCCCTGCAGTGTGTGATTCAGGACACAAGACACAGCAGACAGTAGAGGGAAAGACTGATGTTTATTGTTTCTATCCAGTTGCCAAATTGATGAAGTGAATTGCATTTGTATTCAATTGTTATTCTGTAAAGGAATGGGCAGCTCCGTTAAGAGTGATCCTGCTTTTGTAATTTAAACAAGTTCCTTTCTCTGGACACTGGCCAGCCCCCTGCATTCAAACTCACTTCCTGTTAGCACAGGGCTTGCCAACTCGTAAAGCATCTTTGAAAGTGACTCTAAAAAGATATGCAGTGTCTAGGGAGCTTTGTCAATTGTGTCTTACCCATTTGTTTTGTGATTTTTAGTGTTGTGATTAACATTGTTCAGGTGTTTGAGATTTCCTTTACTCCTTCTTGATGCTAAGAATCCACATAGCAAGTTTATGTGTTACTGAGCTCTCTCCTCCTGCCTGCAGGATCTCTCTCTGACACACTGCAGCTCTCCCGTCCCTCTCTGACACACTGCAG